TGAGTAGCACCTGCTAACATGACTGCAAGAAATGGAATCCAAATCCTGCAGATGAAGAGGTGGAATTATGCAAGATGGGATCCATCAGTGACCTTTGTTTTCTGCAGAGCAGAACAAAAGATTGCAATCAGCAAGGGAAAAGAGGATCACTGCCCTAAGAGCCTTCTGCTCCTCCTGTCTCTAAACTCAAATCAAAACGGGTAGGAAGATTTCGGTGTCATCCATATGATGTCCCTCAGGATGTCCCCTGACTTATTTTTCTTCTCCTTAGAGCAATAACAGAATAACAGAGTTGGAAGGGACCTTGGAGGTCTTCTAGTCCAACCCCCTGCTCAGGCAGAAAACCCTCAACCTTGATGATGTTAAGATGTGTGGACTTCAGCTCCCAGAATTCCCCATCCTTTGTTCCAGTTGCCATGATTTAACCTTTTTTTACATACTTTTGGCCTGGATGATTGAGCCTTCATTTACATACTTTCCCAGCCAGAAATTAATGTGTTCTCCAATTCCCATGCTGGCTGGGCAATTCTGGGAATTGAAGTCCACACATCTTAACATTGCCAAGGTTGACAAATTCTGACTTAGTGCGATCCAATTTAAGGTTGTCAAGGTCCTCTCAGCATATGAGACCCTTACGGTGTATTCTTTCAGGCCACAAATGTGCAGATCGTATCATTTCTTCAGCCCAAATCTGGGCAACATCTGGGACAGTACTCCATATTTTAGGAAGACTGGAGTCACAGCCAAATCATGGATTTGAATGAAAGGATAGATGTGGCAGGCTTTCGGGGGAGGGGTATCCAGGGAGAGGAAAGATGTTGGGGCTCATTCTATTCCACCTCCTGTGAATCTAGAGTTCACATGACAATAAGCAGGCACTACATCACTATTTCCCAAAAACAAAAATTAGGATCTGCGTGGAATTGAATTAGGTTGCATGCTTCAGTTTCACTCATATCGAATTTGTAGCACAGATCTCAGTGATTGAATTGCAGCTTATTGCTGCCTACCAAAAATTATTTTATTACGGCTTCATGAATCACATCACATCTCTTAACAGAACTATCAAGCCTGGCGGAAAGGAGACCACACAGTAAGCTTAGCCTAAATAGAAGCAATTATTCCAATTGAAAAACCAAGCTGGATTCCGGAGATTTACAGGATCATGTAGCCATTGTAACCCAGCTGAATTGCTATTACTAGGAATATACCACTGTGATGTAGCACAAGGTTTTTCAACCTTGGCAACTACCAGATATTTAGGCTTTGATTCCCAGAATGCCACAGCCAACAGGGCCACTGCTGAGAATTTTGGGAGTTGAAATCCACCAATCTGGAAATTGCCAAGGCTGGGAACCCTTGGTGTCGAAAATATTCCTCCAAGTGAAGGAATGGATGGTAATCCATGAATACGTACGATGATATCCTGTATTCTTCATTTGCTTGACAATTTTACGATCTTCATAGCCGTTGAAATATATAGGTCCAAGACTAGAATCATGAACTACTTTATTGAGCTCAATGTTGATGGGAGATTGTCTCATGCCACCGCAGTAGCCAATATTTCCCCAAGTGCTAGGTCCTAGCAGAAAAAGAGTAAAGAGATGATCATATTAGATAATAATATAATAATGCAGCCCTTCCATTTTTTTCCTTTTTTTTCCTTTTTTTTCGTTTTTGCAATTAGAACATTTTTCTAGAATTTGGCAAATGGGTGTGTGTATTTACCCAGTCAGTTTCCAGGTAAAATTCAAGGTATCGGCTATCAATTTTAATGGCCTACATGGCTTGGGGCCAGGTTATTTGAAGGACCACTACTCTTTTATTAAACCCACCCAGCCCACCAGGCCAGGAAGACAAGGCACATTGTGGGTCCCATCGATAAGGGATTGTCATCTTGCGGGATTACAAAAAGGGCCTTCACAGTGATGGCCCCTTCTTCGTGAAACACCATTCCCGCTGAGGAATGGCCCTCAACCTCTGCTTTTCTCAAAGTCCCTAAAAACATAGTTTTGTCAGTGGGCCTGGGGACCACAAATGGAAATGGAGCTGTTCAAGTGGCTGATTTGTTTGTGTTGTTTCTGCCATGGTGGGTGAGGTGGGGGGATTTATGGGTATTCATTATGTGGTGGAGTTTTTAAATTTTGTAAGCCAGAGTTCCCCATTTCCATCTTTGCGGACCGGCCGGGGGAGGGGAGGGGATAGTTCGCAAAATGGCCGGCAAGCACTGGCAGCTCCATTTGCATGAGGGGAATGCATGGGCACCTGCCGCTCATGTAAATGGAGCACGCACACATGTGCTCACCCACTGCTCCCACAAGTGAGGATGTGTGCATGCGCTCTCTGGCTGTTTCCATGGCCCAGTTGCAAACCCCTCACAGCCCACTAGTAGGCCCTGGTCCACAGGTTGCGGACCCCTGTTGTAAACCTCCAAGAGTCACCTATCTATGAGTTGGGCAGCTATACAGGTAGTTCTCCACTTACGACCAAAATTTTTGTTGTTAAGCAACACAGTTATTAAGTGGGTTTGCCCCATTTTACGACCTTTCTTGCCACAGTTGTTAAGTAAATTGCTGCAGTTGTTAAGTTAATAACAAGGTTGTTAAGTGAATCTGGATTCCTCACTGACTTTGTTTGTCAGAAAGTCGCAAAAGGGGATCACATGACCCCGGGACACTGCAACTGTCATAAATATGAGACAGTTGCCAAGCATCCGAATTTTGATTTACTTACAACAGTTCATTTACTGACCATTCAAAGTTACAACAGCACTGAAAAAAGTGACATAACCGTTTTTCACAATTAACAACTGTTGCAGCGTCCCCAGGGTCACATGATCAAAATTCAGACATTTGGCAACTGACTCATACTTTTGACAGATGCAGTGTCCGGGGATCATGTGAGCACCTTTTGTGACCTTTTGGCAAGCAAAGTCAATGGGGAAATCACATTCACTTAACAACCTTACAACTAACAATTAACTTAAAAACTGTGGCAAAAAAGTCATAAAATGGGGCAAAACTCACTTAGCAGCAGACATTTTGGGCCTCATATATAAATGACCTGAAAGGAAAAACATTTAGAAGTTCTTCCTCATGTTTCAGCATATTTTAACCTCAAGATTGCTAAAGGTATGTTGGCAGATACCACACTTGTGATTGCAACATATAGAATTACAGAGATTTTCAAACGTAAACAGTGTGAGGGTGGGTGGGCATGTTCATTCCTTTAAACTCATTACACTTTTTCCTTCCCATGTTAATATTTTTTAAAGATCTATGGTTTTAATTATCACTACCTTTATACCATTAGGCATATAACGTATGCTATTGTAACGCTAGCCTTGAACTAAAACTGAGATGTAGACTTCTTCTAGGTGTCATCAGTTGAGGAAATAAACAGTAAATTAATTATAATAACAGTCGGTATTAAACTCAAAGTGGTCACTGATTCAATCCAACCAGCGTATGAACAGTAAACAGGGTGAATTAGAAATTCAGGTGAATGAGGGCAGATATGGTATTGTTGCCATTACGGAAACATGGTGGGATGAAACCCACAAATGCAACACACAGCTAGAGGGATTTAAATTATTTTAAAGAAACAGACCAAATAAAAGAGGAGATGGAGTTGCTCTCTATATAAGAAATAACTACATCTCTACAGAAATAGAGCACAACAATGATGAAAACTGTCTTCAATGCATTTGGATCAATATAAAAGGGGGGGGGGAATGACATTGCCATAGGTGTATACTAAAGGCTACCCAACCAAACAGAGGAAATAGATGAACTTTTTGCTAGTCAGCTAACTAAGGTATGTAGGAAGCACATCACAATAGTAATGGGGGACTTTAATTACCCTGACATCAACTGGGAGACAAACTCTGCACCAAGTGGAAGATCAAACAGATTCCTGACAAACCTAGCAGACAACTTTGTCTCCCAAAAAGTAGAGAAGGGAACTAGCCACATTGGATCTAATTCTCACTAACAGAGATGAAATGATAGAAGGTGTTGAAGCCACAGGAACCTTGGGAGGAAGTGATCATGCAATATTGGAATTCAACATTATGGAAGCACAAGAAATAGAACACAGTCAAACTAGAATCTTGGACTTTAAGAGAGCTAATTTCAATAAACTTAGAGAGGGCTTGGGAAGAATTCCATGGATGAGAATCCCCAAGGGGAAAACAACTCAAGAAGCTTGGGAATTTTGAAAAATGAGATAATAAAAGCCCAGTCTAGCACAATACCAACAAAGAAGAAAAATAACAGCTCTCAAAAGAAACCAGCATGGCTGCATAAAGAACTCTCTGATAAATTGAAAGATAAAAAGGACAAGTATAAAAAGTGTAAAGAGGGGCAAATAACTAAGGCAGAATATCAGCAAATAGCCCAAGCCTGCAAAGATGAAGTGAGGAAAGCTAAGGCTCAAAATGAACTAAGGCTTGCGACCAAAGTCAAAAATAACAAAAAAAAGCTTCTTTCAACATGTAAAAAACAAGAAAAAAGTTAAGGAAATGGTTGGTCCATTAGTGGAGGAAAGTGGCAAGAAGGTGACAAGCAACAGGGAGAAAGCAGAACTATTTAACTCGTTTTTTGCATCTGTCTTTACACAAAGGGAAAAAACAGACCAACCTATCAAAAATAGTGCCATTAAAAAATAGAAGAGAAACACAAGTTAAGATAGGCAAGAAAATGGTAAGTGAGCACCTCTCCAGCCTAGACGAGTTCAAATCACCAGGACCAGATGGATTACACCCCAAGGTTCTCAAGGAACTGGCAGATGTGATCTCAGAACCACTGAACTATATTTTTCAAAGATCCTGGAGCACTGAGGAACTACCAGAGGACTGGAAAAGAGCTGATGTAGTTCCCATCTTCAAAAAAGGAAAAACCTCAATACCTGGGAAGATTCTAAAAAAGATAATCAAACAATGAATCAGCGAACACCTAGAGGCAAACAAAGTCATTACTAAAAGCCAACATGGGTTTCTCAAAAACAGATCATGCCAGACAAATCTTATTGCATTCTTTGACCAAGTGACAAAATTAGTGGATCAGAGGAATGCTGTGGATATAATTTATTTGGACTTCAGTACGGCATTTGATAAAGTAGATCACAACCTACTACTTGATAAGATAGAAAAATGTGGGTTAGACAGCATCACCACCAGGTGGATTCGTAGCTGGCTGACCGGCCATACTCAGTGTGAGGTCCTCAATGGAACTGCATCTACATGGAGGGAAGTGTGTAGTGGGATGCCCCAGGGCTCTGTTCTAGGCCCAGTGCTCTTTAATATCTTCATCAACGATTTGGATGATGGGATAGATGGGGAACTCATCAAATTTGCAGACGACACCAAGCTGTCAGGAATAGCCAACACTCCAGAAGACAGGCTTAATAGACAGGAGGATCTGGACAGACATGAACACTGGGCGCTATCTAACAGAATGAAATTCAATGTTGAAAAAAGCAAGGTTCTACATTTAGGAAAGAAAAACCAGAGGGGTGACATGATAGCAGTGTTCCAATATTTCAGGATCTGCCACAAAGAAGAGGGAGTCAAGCTATTCTCCAAAACACCTGAAGGCAGGACAAGAAGCAACGGATGGCTCTCCAGGAACAACACTTGTGGTTACCACAGTAAGAAGGTTTCTGGAATCAGAGAGAAAAAAAACATGGCTTACCACACTCTGGTTTATCATAACACCAGTGATCTGCAAGAAAGAAAAAGAAAAGGGAAATGTAATGGCTTTTAAAAAAACATTGAAAGGAACAAAGGCCCAAAGCATCCCAAGGTATTTCTTCCATTCAGGGGTGTTTGCAGGAGCGTCCATAAAAGCAAGATAGCAACCCAGCCAGGTGATCAAAGCCCCGCCCCCTTTTTATGCGTGGGTGTCGTGTATATGATTATGGACACCATCTTGACTTTTTTGACCCCCTCCTGCAGACACTCCTGCTTCCATTCAATACCTAAACCATATTTCTGGCATGCAAAGGGGTTTTTCTAATTCTCTTTCTCACCAGCTTTCCCAACCCTTCACAGATAAGAACTGAAGATATGGAGAAAAACTCCTTTCCCCAAGATAAAACACAGATGTTCAAAATGAATTCCACCCCCAAAAAAGAAGGATTGTCTTTGTTTAACTTTTCATTTCATGGATTACCATAAAAAGAGAGAATTCAACATTGCTACCCATTCCTGAGGACAGGATACTTGGAAGGACTGAATCCTTCAAAGTACAAGTAGTCCTAGAGCAGTGATGGCGAACCTTTTAGAGACCGAGTGCCCAAACTGCAATCCAAAACCCACTTATGTATCGTCAGGTGCCGGGTGGGGTGGCCCATTGGGTGGGTGTGGCCCATTGGGTGGGCGTGGCCCATTGGGTGGGTGTGGCTGCGGTGGTAACGGCAGACTGGGTGGGACTAAAAAGTTCAATCAATCAATTCCAATTTTGAGAGATCTTTTTTTTCCTGCAAGAAGTTGAAATTGATTGATTGATTGAACCTCTTTTTTTGCACATGGCGGCAGAGGCCTAAAGCGAAAAAGTTTTATAAAACCCAGCTGAAGGCCTA